TAAATAAGACTTTTGGACCACCTGTGGGTTCCCTGTTAAGCCCTGTGCTAGAGAACTTATATATGGAACATCTCGAAGCCAAGTGGTTGTTGATTATTTCCTAATCTGCCACCTCGCTTTACTATGTTGACGACATACTCATCATAATACACGGAAGATGTCCCTGCTTTCCAACATAAGCTCAAACAAGGCGAGCCCACCATTCAGTTCATCCTCAAAGAGGAGGCAGACGGCCCTCTTCCTTTCTTCAATGTTCTGCAATGCAAATCTGACCATGGACTGTTTCATAATCTAATGCAAACCTTCCCACACGATTGTCTTCACTCCTAATACCATGAAACTAAGATGAAATATAGCATTATCTCAAGTTTTGTTTCATGTGCTCTCCATAATGGCAGAAGCGAATTCCTTGAAAATGAATACTCATTCCTTGAGTATAATTTTGACTTTTAATTATGGCATCTCTATCTATGTAGACTCAGTGGCTCGCATAATCAAGTATGATAAGAATCCTCTTACAGATACTGGACGAGGGAACCTGTACATCAATACATACCAGGAGGTAGCTTAGTTGATCCTCACCACATAAGTAGGCCCTCCATGTAGAAGTTCTCAATGTGAGAAAGTATTTCTTGTTCCACTGTTAGATATTACACAATTATCATTCAAACTCAGGCTTTAGTGATCTTGCCCGAGGGCCAGCTGTTAGTCTGGCATCTGTAAGCAGGCCACACATCGAGACACATCGGTCAATATATTTCAGTCTAAATCAGTCTACACACTGGTCAGTCGATACCTGTGTATATATATTGTTTTATACAGCCTGGTTGGGGAGGGGTCAGCTCCTCTTTACAGGTAAAACCTTCCCTGACTGAGAAACATGACTCTCAAGAGTCATGTTCAAGCTTATTGTTTTAGGCCTGTATTGTTTAGCTACTTCATCTTCATCCTTGAAGCCACAAGAAATGTTCATCTGAGGAAATCATTTAGTCAACTTAAAGAAGCTTTCGGATAACAGTTTCTATGTGGATAATTTTCAAGGAACCATGACCATAGTGCTTGATTTAATGATCCTTTATAAGGAGGCAAATAAAGAAATAAATCATAAAATTTTCCTGGTAGTAGTAATATGCCTGGGTTGGCACTTTTTTTTATGGAATGACATACCGAAGAAAACACCTTAAGTCTCAAGACTATGAACCTCAAACCTAGCAGTGACCTTGCTAATCGTAGTTTACTGACATAGATGTCTCGTTGATTTTATCCTCTGGGATTAGTTACCCCTTCCACCATAAAGAGTAGAATACTTATCCAAGATGGGTGGAAACTGAAACGACAGTGGGATGAGAGTTTGCCCATAGAAATGTGTCGGTCTTGGAGTAACACTGCAGCGGAGTTTAACCACCTTCCCGAGGTTAAGTAACTTAAAGACATGAGGTGTCACTTTCAGGAATTTGTCCAACGAAGAGTACCTAGCTAACTTAGGGGTATCTACAATGTTCAAGTAGTCTGTTTGTTCTGGTATGATGTGGTTTCTTTGCTAAGACCAACCACTTTCATTAGACAACCATAACTCATTACCAAGGAATTTGCTGAAAGGTACCCCCACGAGGTAACATCAGCCGAGATCTCTTTGATAGGGACATCATACGAAAGATAATAAGACTCCATCTCCCTAATCTCAGCCACCCGATTTTGTACGTAAAACTATCCAAGTCATATCATTCCTTAACGACTGAGGGATTGCTTCATTGTCACTCTAGATATCGGTCTTAGTTAGGCTGAGGCGGTTCAATACCTTACTGAGATACACTGATAGTTTGGTGCCATCAGTAGCGCCCTTGGATTCAAAGGCACTACTCTGGCCTTGGAAGTGACTAACAGATTCCCTCCAGTGTCACTAACATATGCTGTGGCACCACGGTGAAAAGCTCTGTTCCACAAGGCACAGTACTCGCTCCCATCTTGTTTCTCATCCTCATATCTGACATAGACAAGGATGTCAGCCACAGCACCGTGTCTTCCTTTGCAGATGACACCCGAATCTGCATGACAGTGTCTTCCATTGCAGACACTACACGGCTCCAGGCAGACATCAACCAAATTTTTCAGTGGGCTGCAGGAAACAATATGAAGTTCAACGATGAGAAATTTCAATTACTCCGATATGATAAACATTAGGAAATTAAAACTTCATCAGAGTACAAAACAAATTCCTTCCACAAAATAGAGCGAAAAAACCAACGTTAAAGACCTGGGAGTGATCATGTCGGAGGATCTCACCTTCAAGGACCATAACATTGCATCAATCGCATCTGCTAGATAAATGACAGGACGGATAATGAGAACCTTAAGAACTAGGGATGTCAAGCCCATGATGACACTCTTCAGGTCGCTTGTTCTATCTATGCTGGAATATTGCTGCACACTAACAGCACCTTTCAAGGCAGGTGAAATTGCTGACCTAGAAACTGTACAGAGAACCTTCACGGCGCGCATAACGGAGATAAAACACCTCAATTACTTGGAGCGCTTGAAGTTCCTGAACCTGTATTCCCTGGAACGCAGGCGGGAGAGATACATGATTATATACACCTGGAAAATCCTAGAGGGTCTAGTACCGAACTTGCACACGAAAATCACTCATTACGAAAGCAAAAGACTCGGCAGATGAAGCAACATCCCCCCCAATAAAAAGCAGGGGTGTCACTAGCACGTTAAGAGACAATAAAATAAGTGTGAGGGGCCTGAGACTGTTCAACTGCCTCCCAGCATACATAAGGGGGATTACCAATAGACCCCTGGCTGTCTTCAAGCAGGCACTGGACAAGCACCTAAAGTCGGTGCCTGACCAGCCGGGCTGTGGCTCGTACGTTGGATTGCGTGCAGCCAGCAGTAACAGCCTGGTTGATCAGGCTCTGATCCACCAGGAGTCCTGGTCACAGACCGGGCCGCGGGGGCGTTGACCCCCGGAACTCTCTCCAGGTAAACTCTAGTTAAACACCCTACTGTGGATGAGTCACACAACACATGAAGTGCGTAGGTCTCATCTTTCTGGCCTATTGCCTGGGAAACTTAAGATAAAGAAGGTGAAGTATGAATTCTCTGAATCTATGAAATACTAGGTAAAACAAGAGCAGTGTGAAGTCTTCTCAGTTGATTGTGAATTTCAGAAAACTGGGAACAAGTTCTCAAAGAAACCAGACTTCGCATGTACTTCAAGACTTTATAAAGTAAAAGGACACAAGTCCAACTAATGTGACATTTTATTGTGGCAAGACCTTAATCTTCCTCTACCTCCCAGAGATTTTGTTGATTTGATTGAACTCTGTGTTAATTTCAACTATTTTTCTCTCAATAACAGGCTCTACAAACAAACCTACGGCAAGGGAATGGGATCCCCCATCAGTGCCGTCCTAGCCAACTTGTACATGGAACACCTAGAGTCCGAACATCATCCCTTCAAGCGTCACTTGGTTACGTTACGTGGACGACGTCCTCGTAATAACTCCCAAACGTTTTGATGTACGGAATCTACAGGCAAGGCTCAACACAGTTGAACCGGCGATCCAGTTTACACTAGAAGAAGAGTCCAATGACAAGCTACCTTTCTTTGACGTCCTCATTCACAAAGTAGACAACAACCTAAGATTTCAAGTTTATCAGAAACCTACCAATAAAAAAAATTTAACACACTTCTATTCCAGTCAAGATACTAAGACCAAAAGAGGCATCATCATCGGGTTTTTCCTAAGAGCATACCGAGTTTGTAGTCCTGAGTTTCTTGACGAGGAATGTACATACATTCACCAAACCTTCACGCAGTTACATTTTCCTTCTTTTTTCATCAAAGACTACAAGAAAAGAGCTCTTCAGATCATTAATTCTCCACGCACCAACACCACTTCCAACAAAGTTATAATTCTTCCCAACAGCCAGGTTGAACTGAACGTTTCTGAAGTACTTTCACAAGCTAACACCAGAGTCGCTATCGCTTCCAGCACTTCAATAAAGGATCTAACCAGGACACAATCCAAGCACCACGAACCAGTCAACGCAGGGGTTTACACTATACCCTGTGGAGGTTGCGACAAGATTTATGTAGGTGAAACAGCAAGAAATCTCGACATCCGCCTCAATGACCATATTTACGCATGTAGGAACGATAACTTGAACAACGCCTGTGTACAACACCGAAATTCCACCAATCATCTCATGAAAATCAGGGACGCCCAATTACTGATCAAAGAAACTAATTTCCGCAGACGCAAGTGCCTTGAATCAGCACTAATCGTTGTTTCGAATACAATTAAACAAAACAAAGGCAGCTTCACCATCTCTGAAATCTTAGCAAGAATCCTCCTGAAAACAGTAAACCCAGCCATCACATAGTCTCTCCTGTTAATACTACACAAAGCACATTACAGAGAATGAACACTGAAACAGGCCTTCTCTATCCAGTCTCCAATAGGAATATTTGTCTAACCTATTTTTACGTTACCCAAATAATAGCTTTTATATCCTTTTACTCATGTGCGAGTTAATTGTTCTACCATATTGTATTACTAGTACTACTACAACTTATGTCACTACTACTACTACTACCACTAGTATTGCACCTCACTCTGAGTCTATGTATACCCTCTGTGTCCATGTACTGTTCGTAACGGTTTGACAAAGCTCCTGGAGAGCGAAACGTTGCCACAATAAAATGTCACATTAGTTGCACTTGTGTCCTTTTACTTTACATATTGTCGGTAATTCTACCAACATTATTACTTCAAGATTTTATTTAGATTTAAAGAACATTATGAGATGTCGAGGAAGAATTCAAAATTCCTCTCTCTCAGAAGGTATGGTACATCCTATATTGATACATGACCAGCACTGAACCTGCATAAGAAGTGTTGTTGTAGAATACAAAGATCACAAGATGCAACCCTGATTTGTATAACACTATAACATACACTAAAATAGAATAGTAAATAGCATTTACTCACTTAACAAAAAGATTTCCGTAGTTTGCCATAGTCAGAACATCATTGTTGGTCTGGAGGACGTCAGCTGAGGTAACTTGAGTGATCTTGCGACACAGAGGACACTCAATCTTGCCAAACTTGAGCAACTGGTGGATACACTCATCACAGAAAGTGTGATGACATGTAAGGTATTTTGGGAGCCTCTTCTCGCAAAATTCATCCAGGCACACTGAGCAAGTCTGTAAGAAGCACAAGGAGCATCAGTAAAGCAAAACACAATTATAACTAAGTAAATTATTACCAAATTCACATAATTCATTTTCTGCACTTAGCAGAAAGTAGCAGATGTAATCCTGCTAGACCCATCAATCTTAAATCACAGTAAAATTAAAGTTGGGGTCTACGCAAGATTATAAGCATCATGTGATAAATGCTACGTGGATGAACGGCATGTGACATGTAGAACCCACAGTATTAACAATGAATGCGTTATATATCATGACTAAATTTTTAGCATAACTCACTTGGGCAGATGTCTGTACATGATATTGTAACATCTGTTGACCTATCTTCGTCACTGCCACACCTGACTCTACAACCTGACCTACCAACATCCTGCATTTACTTTTATACCACTTCACCTGACACTGGAACCTACCTACACCTCACCTAATAGAGTACATATAGCAAGTGGGTGAGTCACTGTATGGCTTCAAGAAACTCACGATTTATGGGAACCCGGTCTGCAGTAAATATATTTTTCTCACCAGAAATTGTCTTAATAAACTACTGAGGTACTCACAAAATCTTAACCAGCACTTCCAGGTAAGAGCTCATCCTAGTTTCATTTACACTGAAATAACTTTCATAATTGTAACTAATAATCACTGCAACAGTCATGTAGCAGCGCATCGTGACGAGGCGAGCTGTGTTTACTGGCTGGCTGGCGAGGCAAGCTGTGTTTACTGGCTGGCTGGCGAGGCAAGCTGTGTTTACTGGCTGGCTGGCGAGGCAAGCTGTGTTTACTGGCTGGCTGGCGAGGCAAGCTGTGTTTACTGGCTGGCTGGCGAGACAAGCTGTGTTTACTGGCTGGCTGGCGAGGCAAGCTGTGTTTACTGGCTGGCTGGCGAGGCAAGCTGTGTTTACTGGCTGGCTGGCGAGGCAAGCTGTGTTTACTGGCTGGCTGGCGAGGCAAGCTGTGTTTATTGGCTGGCTGGCGAGGCAAGCTGTGTTTACTGGCTGGCTGGCGAGGCGAGCTGTGATTACTGGCTGGCTGGCGAGGCAAGCTATGTTTACTGGCTGGCTGGCGAGGCGAGCTGTGTTTACTGGCTGGCTGGCGAGGCAAGCTATGTTTACTGGCTGGCTGGCGAGGCGAGCTGTGTTTACTGGCTGGCTGGCGAGGCAAGCTGTGTTTACTGGCTGGCTGGCGAGGCAAGCTGTGTTTATTGGCTGGCTGGCGAGGCAAGCTGTGTTTACTGGCTGGCTGGCGAGGCGAGCTGTGTTTACTGGCTGGCTGGCGAGGCAAGCTGCGTTTACTGGCTGGCTGGCGAGGCAAGCTGTGTTTACTGGCTGGCTGGCTGGCGAGGCAAGCTGTGTTTACTGGCTGGCTGGCGAGGCAAGCTGTGTTTACTGGCTGGCTGGCGAGGCAAGCTGTGTTTACTGGCTGGCTGGCGAGGCGAGCTGTGTTTACTGGCTGGCTGGCGAGGCAAGCTGTGTTTACTGGCTGGCTGGCGAGGCAAGCTGTGTTTACTGGCTGGCTGGCGAGGCGAGCTGTGTTTACCGGCTGGCTGGCGAGGCAAGCTGTGTATACTGGCTGGCTGGCGAGGCAAGCTGTGTTTCTGGCTGGCTGGCGAGGCGAGCTGTGTTTACTGGCTGGCTGGCGAGGCAAGCTGTGTTTACTGGCTGGCTGGCGAGGCAAGCTGTGTTTACTGGCTGGCTGGCGAGTCAAGATGTGTTTACTGGCTGGTTGGCGAGGCAAATTGTGTTTACTGGCTCGCTGGCAAGGCAAGCTGTGTTTATTGGCTCGCTGGCGAGGCGAGCTGTGTTTACTGGCTGGCTGGCGAGGCGAGCTGTGTTTACTTGCTGGCTGGCGAGACAAGCTGTGTTTACTGGCTCGCTGGCGAGGCAAGCTGTGTTTACTGGCTAGCTGGCGAGGCAAGCTGTGTTTACTGGCTGGCTGGCGAGGCAAGCTGTGTTTACTGGCTGGCTGGCAAGGCAAGTTGTGTTTACTGGCTGGCTGGCGAGGCAAGGTGTGTTTATTGGCTCACTGGCGAGGCGAGCTGCGTTTACTGGCTGGCTGGCGAGACAAGCTGTGTTTACTGGCTGGCTGGCGAGGCAAGCTGTGTTTACTGGCTGGCTGGCGAGGCAAGCTGTGTTTACTGGCTGGATGGCGAGGCAAACTGTGTTTACTGGCTGGCTGGCGAGGCAAGCTGTGTTTACTGGCTGGCTGGCGAGGCGAGCTGTGTTTACTGGCTGGCTGGCGAGGCAAACTGTGTTTACTGGCTGGCTAGCGAGGCAAGCTGTGTTTACTGGCTGGATGGCGAGGCAAGCTGTGTTTACTGGGTGGCTGGCGAGGCGAGCTGTGTTTACTGGCTGGCTGGTGAGGCAAGCTGTGTTTACTGGCTGGCTGGCGAGGCAAGCTGTGTTTACTGGCTGGCTGGCGAGGCGAGCTGTGTTTACTGGCTGGCTGACGAGACAAGCTGTGTTTACTGGCTGGCTGGCGAGGCAAGCTGTGTTTACTGGCTGGCTGGCGAGGCAAGCTGTGTTTACTGGCTGGCTGGCGAGGCAAGCTGTGTTTACTGGCTGGATGGCAAGGCAAGTTGTGTTTACTGGCTGGCTGGCTGGCTGGCTGGCGAGGCAAGCTGTGTTTATTGGCTGGCTGGCGAGGCGAGCTGTGTGTACTTGCTGGCTGGCGAGGCGAGCTGTGTGTACTTGCTGGCTGGCGAGGCGAGCTGTGTTTGCTGGCTGGCTGGTGAGGCGAGCTGTGTTTACTGGCTGGCTGGCGAGTCGAGCTGTGTTTACTGGCTGGCTGGCGAGGCGAGCTGTGTTTACTGGCTGGCTGGCGAGGCGAGCTGTGTTTACTGGCTGGCTGGCGAGGCGAGCTGTGTTTACTTGCTGGCTGGCGAGGCGAGCTATGTTTACTGGCTGGCTGGCGAGGCGAGCTGTGTTTACTTGCTGGCTGGCGAGGCGAGCTGTGTTTACTGGCTGGCTGGTGTGGCACGCTGTGTTTACTGGCTGGCTGGTGAGGCGAGCTGTGTTTACTTGCTGGCTGGCGAGGCGAGCTGTGTTTACTGGCTGGCTGGCGAGGCAAGCTGTGTTTACTTGCTGGCTGGCGAGGCGAGCTGTGTTTACTTGCTGGCTGGCGAGGCGAGCTGTGTTTACTGGCTGGCTGGCGAGACAAGCTGTGTTTACTGGCTGGCTGGCGAGGCAAGCTGTGTTTACTGGCTGGCTGGCGAGGCAAGCTGTGTTTACTGGCTGGCTGGCTGGCGAGGCAAGCTGTGTTTACTGGCTGGCTGGCGAGGCAAGCTGTGTTTACTGGCTGGCTGGCGAGGCAAGCTGTGTTTACTGGCTGGCTGGCGAGGCGAGCTGTGTTTACTGGCTGGCTGGCGAGGCGAGCTGTGTTTACTGGCTGGCTGGCGAGGCGAGCTGTGTTTACTGGCTGGCTGGCGAGGCGAGCTGTGTTTACTGGCTGGCTGGCGAGGCGAGCTGTGTTTACTGGCTGGCTGGCGAGGCGAGCTGTGTTTACTGGCTGGCTGGCGAGGCAAGCTGTGTTTACTGGCTGGCTGGCGAGGCAAGCTGTGTTTACTGGATGGCTGGCGAGGCGAGCTGTGTTTACTGGCTGGCTGGCGAGGCAAGCTGTGTTTACTGGCTGGCTGGCGAGGCATGCTGTGTTTACTGGCTGGCTGGCGAGGCAAGCTGTGTTTACTGGCTGGCTGGCGAGGCAAGCTGTGTTTACTGGCTGGCTGGCGAGGCAAGCTGTGTTTACTGGCTGGCTGGCGAGGCAAGCTGTGTTTACTGGCTGGCTGGCGAGGCAAGCTGTGTTTACTGGCTGGCTGGCGAGGCGAGCTGTGTTTACTGGCTGGCTGGCGAGGCGAGCTGTGTTTACTGGCTGGCTGGCGAGGCGAGCTGTGTTTACTGGCTGGCTGGCGAGGCGAGCTGTGTTTACTGGCTGGCTGGCGAGGCGAGCTGTGTTTACTGGCTGGCTGGCGAGGCGAGCTGTGTTTACTGGCTGGCTGGCGAGGCAAGCTGTGTTTACTGGCTGGCTGGCGAGGCAAGCTGTGTTTACTGGATGGCTGGCGAGGCGAGCTGTGTTTACTGGCTGGCTGGCGAGGCAAGCTGTGTTTACTGGCTGGCTGGCGAGGCAAGCTGTGTTTACTGGCTGGCTGGCGAGGCAAGCTGTGTTTACTGGCTGGCTGGCGAGGCAAGCTGTGTTTACTGGCTGGCTGGCGAGGCAAGCTGTGTTTACTGGCTGGCTGGCGAGGCAAGCTGTGTTTACTGGCTGGCTGGCGAGGCAAGCTGTGTTTACTGGCTGGCTGGCGAGGCAAGCTGTGTTTGCTGGCTGGCTGGCGAGGCGAGCTGTGTTTACTGGCTGGCTGGCGAGGCAAGCTGTGTTTACTGGATGGCTGGCGAGGCGAGCTGTGTTTACTGGCTGGCTGGGGAGGCAAGCTGTGTTTACTGGCTGGCTGGCGAGGCAAGCTGTGTTTACTGGCTGGCTGGCGAGGCAAGCTGTGTTTACTGGCTGGCTGGCGAGGCAAGCTGTGTTTGCTGGCTGGCTGGCGAGGCGAGCTGTGTTTACTGGCTGGCTGGCGAGGCAAGCTGTGTTTACTGGCTGGCTGGCGAGGCAAGCTGTGTTTACTGGCTGGCTGGCGAGGCAAGCTGTGTTTGCTGGCTGGCTGGCGAGGCGAGCTGTGTTTACTGGCTGGCTGGCGAGGCAAGCTGTGTTTACTGGCTGGCTGGCGAGGCAAGCTGTGTTTACTGGCTGGCTGGCGAGGCAAGCTGTGTTTGCTGGCTGGCTGGCGAGGCGAGCTGTGTTTACTGGCTGGCTGGCGAGGCAAGCTGTGTTTACTGGCTGGCTGGCGAGGCAAGCTGTGTTTACTGGCTGGCTGGCGAGGCAAGCTGTGTTTACTGGCTGGCTGGCGAGGCAAGCTGTGTTTACTGGCTGGCTGGCGAGGCGAGCTGTGTTTACTGGCTGGCTGGCGAGGCAAGCTGTGTTTACTGGCTGGCTGGCGAGGCAAGCTGT